GTTTTGTGTGCTTTCACAAACCCAGGGAGCTGACAGGTATAACAAAGACTAATGGCTTTTTGCTGCTCAGATAAATAAATCCCTTCATTTTTTTGAATCTTCTTTGATGACATCTTTGTTGTTGAGTTTGTTTGCGTGTCAGTCGAATAATGACATTCGTATCTGACGTGACTGATCTCACTGTAAAATCTGAAGGCTGTAATCTTTTTTCCTCTTAGGCTTAAAAAATCAATATGAGAATAGAAAAAGATAACTTAGCTCCAGGACTCGTAATATTCCAATCACTTCCATAGGAATGATCCCTTTTATTTATTTTTGGGAACTCGAGTATCCCGCTAAGCATTTAGGGCAATATTTTCTTTTCATTAAATTCAATATGTGCAGTTTTTAATATGTTTAAAGAAATGTTAGGTAAATATTCTCCCTGTCAACCAGGGGAGTGTTGATTCATAATAGCTCAACCTTTAAACCAACAGAGAGATGGATTACTTCACAACAGAAGGCAAATTTAGTGCCAGCCTACATTTAAGATCCAGACCTCCTGTTTCAGACCACGTCGAGCAGGAGAGCCGTATTTGCGTAAGAGTTTGGAAAGACAGAGGGAGTGAGAAAGACAGAAATCATAAGGTAAACATGCACAGAGAGCCTGTTAAGACTGCCTGTCACAGGATCACAGCTTGTATAAAACAGGCACTGATACATTACACAGAGTCCCCACCACCAGTTCTCCAAACCGGGATGGCATGCAAATTCTCCCTCATATTTGACTATGATCAAGTTTATGTACAGTCAACTTTTGATCGTTATGTTGCTCACAATCCTGCTCATGGGCGTCACTAGGGACAGCTTCACGGATTCTTGAGGTTTTAATATTTGTCTCATTTTGATAGTTGAAGATATCGTGTCATTGCAAAAACATCCGCTGTGTGTGTGTGTGTGTGTGTGGGGGGGGGGGGGGGGGGGGGGGGGTTCTTGGTGCGCGCGCATGAGTACGTGGAGAGCACTGCCTCATTATCCCAGTGTGCGCTACAGGTGAAGTACCTGCTGCGCCACACGCATCATTACGCACAAGAATCGAAAAGGTGACAAAGACTGAATCAATTCAGACGGAAGCATGACAGTGAATGCAAAAATATCGAGCATATTAAATATAAAGACTGTGGGTAGAATTTGAACACCTACTGCTGGCTTTTGGGGTAGAACGGTAGGGTGACATGGCTAAGATCCTGGATGTCGAAGGCAGTGGGTTCGGCCGAAATTGCCTGCCTCTTCGTTCGCTGCTGCTCTTGCAAGTCGTTCGGCTTGTGGACCTGCTGGGTCGCCGGTTTGATGACGGAGCGGTATTTGTCCAGCTCGTTCTGTAGTCTCTGTATAAGCTCGTCTTTCTGGTCGAGCTCCAGCTCCAGCTCGTCGATGAGGGCATCCCTTTGGCGCAGCTCCTCAATCTTCTCCTGGAGCGCGTACTGGAGGTCGCGCAAGGTGCCCATTTTAATCGGCGACAATGAGCGACTTCCCAGGAAGTTTATCTCAAGGTATGCAGCCGAGTCTTTATCCTTTCTGCTCTGCCACGCGGCTCACAAACTTTATTCGTCATGAAAAGCTTGAGAGGAAGGAACCCCTGTCTCTGCTGTGGCTGATTCTGTCTGTCAGAAGCAGATGTTTGGGGATTAAAAAGAACGTGGCACGCGATCGTCAAGGTAAGCACAGAAAGCGTCTCAGCCACAATCATGCAAAGTTTACTCTCTCCCTCTCTCTCGCTCACTCCCTCCCTCCCACGGTGCTGTGACAGCGGAGGACCGTCCTCCCCGAGTGCGTCAGGCTGCGACCCGGTGAGAGCGCATGGCGAGAAGGGCGCCTACAGGAATCTGAAGCACAGTGCAGTCTGCCACTCCAGAGAGAGAGAGAGAGAGTCTCCCATGAAGCCACTGCTCTAAGAACCATGTCATCATACCTCGGCATCTCACCCTGAGGCTGCGTGTAACAAATAGATGAGCACAGGAGCCTTAATAGAAGTTGAAGGTGATGGAAAACTTAATGAACCTCGGTGTAAAAATATGAATGAAGATGTTTTCAATATTTCATTTGAACCTGAATGTTGTTTTTCATGTTGTGTTGGGTGTGAAGAAAATTAAACTTTCCCCAAACCCTTTTCTGAATTAAATTTTGTTGCAAAATGAAGTCAGTTTGCTAAATTTCATATTTTTAAAAAAGTGTCAAACAGCAGCAGCAGAGACACACAAAAAAATGTCAGAGCTAATGAGGCGCAGCTCCGCGTTTCTCATCTAATCTGGTGTTGTATGCACTCCGAGCGCCGCTGGTGCCTGTCCACATTATCCCAATGACTCATCCGAAGCTCAGCGAACAGCATTTGGCCTCCTGCTCTCTGGACAAATTCAGAAGAGGATAAAGTGCCAAGAACAATCTGATAGGATGAGGACTTACTGAGGCTGAAATCGCAATTACTGTGCTGAGAGGATGAAGCGTCACCGGCTGACAGTGAGGACAAAAGCGAGGAGATTTCTCGGACTGCAGAGATAGGTGTTTTTGGTGCGGTGGTTTAAGACATATTTTTCCCGACAAAAAACATGTAAACAAACCGAAATGGAGACAGATGGTCTAATAAAAAGATCTCAGCTGCCCTCTTGTGGCGGCTTAAAGGATCAACGCAGACAATCAAGAATGAGGCATGGCACTGCTCTCCAGGCTGAGGATGATTGTGGACATTAAATCAGCATGTAGTGAGTGATACTGGATCATGAGAGCATTAAAATGTAGGATTTGGGGGATGTATGCGATTAATCGGAGGAATTAATATTAGTAATATCACTCAAAGTAATAACATGTAGGTCTGTGATTTTTAATGGGTAATCGGGGTTTACAAAGATCAAATGAAAATGTATTGAAACTGCATAGTAGCATGAAAAATGTTCTTCAGACTGTGCTTAAATTGCTAAACAGAGGCTGTTAAACTCGCCTGCCATGGAGAGCAACTTTGGGTCTCGTGCCTTGTAAAAGCACGAGACCCAAGCATAGTCTGGATGCTCGATATGAAAAGCCATGGAGTGAACCGTGAACCCTGCTCTTCCTGCTCTACTACCTGAACCGCAAGCTACAAAGCACAACAGAGGTAATCTGTGAAAGTTGAACATGAGAGGAAGACCTGCTCAACAACCAGCAAACCCAACTTTCTGTTTAAGTCATTCATTGAACCACAACAAAAGAAAACCATACAAATAATCCAATGTAGCGCAGTATTCTCTGAGCTAATTAAAAAAAAAACATGGTTTATATTATCTTTGTTAAGGGATGGGGGCAGACCACAGAGCTTAAGCAGCAGCAAAGTTTGCTTCATAGCACCTGAAACTGCAGACGTCCGGAGATTTCAGGTTCGATGTTGGAGCCCCGCATCTTCCCATCAACAAAAAGCCCTCCCACTGTCCTTCAAAGCACCTCTGCGCTTTAAATTTCACCTCTCTAGCCATTCAAGTGAGCCCCTTTCCTATGCGGATCAATAGAAATAGGATCCGGAGCTCCATGCTGCAGTAATCTGAGGAGCGGGGCGGGCCGCCGCCTGGTGCCACGTCCTGATTCAGTGGGGTGCGCGTGTGTGGTGGTGGTGGATGAGGGGGGTCACACCGTCTCCTACTCCTCTGCGGCGCACAGAGGGGTCAGAGACCCCCAGCAGCTCATGTGGGCGCCTTCCACCAGACCCCGGCAGCACAAAGACTTCATGTCACTGCCGTTTTGCACGTTTTCTAGGTTTACTTCCGGTTTATCCTCAGAGCGCATGGGCACATTCCCGTCTGTCAACTCCTGCAGCCTTACTGTGGCACTTACTGTTACTCAGCAGCTGAAAATAAACTCATAATTTGATCACTTTGAGACCGAGCCATGCTTCCACTGGAAGGCTGACAATTTGATGGAGATACTTTATTTTTAACTTTAATGTAGCTCGTTTGCAACTTTTTCATCCCTCTAAAGTTGGGCTGTCTTGTGTTTGTTTGTCTGGGGGCTCTCCCTGCGGTTGTTTGCCTTTGAAAGCGCAGCGAGCATCCGTTGATGACTGCAAATGAGGACTTTCCTGCCTGCAGTTTATTAATGCAAATGAAGATTGGAAATAGTCTAGCCATGTTAATATTATTAACCCCATTGTCTCTTGCACTAAGCGAGTCAACAGGCTGATGTCTGCTTGTGCGTGTGTGTGATGTCAGTGTAATAAGTAATTTATTCTGATGGGGTTCTGATGATAGAAAATGAGGTGAGAATAAATTAAAAGAAAAAGTTCTTTGGCTAACTTTTTGGTTTTTCGAGTAAACACAGCAAAACCAAACTAAGCAGAGTAGGACTAAATAAAAATGCAGTTTCTTTTATCTATACAGACATCATACCTCAGATGAAATCCTCAAAATAAGGATTGTGAACCTAAAACGAGCACCTGAAGGTGATGAAGGAAGCATATGGCCAAACAAAGCGTTTTCTAATGGAGTATTAAATATCCTCAGACATGCACTTCGGGTCCTCAGCGTCCAGCTACTAAAAGCCAATAATGCATCGCACTTCCTCCTGTCTGTGTCCCGTGGGGCTGCCATGATGGATCTGATCAATTAGGAGCTCTTTCTAAAGCTTGCCTTGGAGCTGCGTCATCGGCCCGCAAGAATGGAAGTGCTCGTCCATTCATGGCAAAACTCTGAGTCTCCCATTTAGAAAAAAAGAAGATCATAAAGAGACAGAAACACTATGTGGAGACAAAGCACAGAGGAGCCTCAGTGAGCCGTGTGTGTCTGAGCCTCTAGTTTTTGTTTTTTGTCGCCACATGTATTCTCCTCTCGAAACAGAGTTGTACATCCTCGTAACGAAATGCTGATGAATAGTTTTTATGACCAGAAAAAATAAACTCAGAAGAAAAACACCCAGAAAATCGTTTAAGACGGGACACAAAGCAGACACATGGGCGCAATAACAGAGCAATAAAGTACGACCGCCTGCGTAAACTGTCTTACCAGTCGGACTTGGCATATTTTCGAAACGCCTGCCTTGACAGGTCCTGGTGCGTTTGAGGTTCCGCGGAGATGCCCTGCGCCCTGCGGGTCCTGGGTCCAATAAGTTGAGCGCTTGGCAGAACAGACTGACATTTGTGTAATTTTCTCTTCAGTTCTTGAATCTCGTCTTCCCGATCGGCAAGCCGCCTCTCCAAGTCCCTTATTCTCTCCTCCTTTAGCAGCAGGATCTTGGCAAAGTCGTCCTCCAGATCACTCATGGCGAAAATCTGCGTTAAACTTTGTCGATATTCTCCCCGAGGTGGACAGAACGATTAACTCCCAATACTCGTTTAGCAGGTTTGGGGGAGGAAAAAAAGAGATCACAAAAGATCCCCGTCTAAAGCGCGCAGGGTGATGATGCTCCGACAGTCCCCTTCACTGCGCACTTGTTTATTTCAGAAGAAAAGAGCAAAGCAGCGTTCAAATCCGGGAAACGGACGATTGATGGAGCAGCGCTGCGCTACAGTCCACCAAGCCTCCGGGGAGCTGCTGATGATCCTTCATTGAGAAACCAATTACAGCAGCTCTTCCTCTCAGAGGACGCAGAACTGGGCACTGGAGAGCCGAGACAACTCCTGTATAGTTCAGCCCGCTCACCCTGCAAACACACCACAGAGGAAGCCCAGTGCTGCTGCTGGCTGCTGTCAAATATTTGTTTACCATCTGTCTGCACAACCCCGACCCTCCCTTTGCGCGACAAAAGCGCACACATCACCTCCTTGACCTAACCTATTTCAAAAATCAATTGTCCCACACTCGCTTCACGGGGCAGTGGACCCGGTATGATCTATCTATCTATCTATCTATCTATCTATCTATCTATCTATCTATCTATCTATCTATCTATCTATCTATCTATCTATCTATCTATCTATCTATCTATCTATCTATCTATCTAAATAGCAATTGATTCAATGTTAGATATGAATAAAGGCTTTTTAAAGAGTTTGCACCTAAATTAAAGTTAATTACAACACACATTCCAAAGTGGGTTGCTCTAATAATGAGAGTAATCTGTAATTACACACTGTGGCACCACTGCTTATCACTTTTATCCTGGTTGCACTGTGAAGACTGGGAGTTCAATAATAGATCATCACTTCTCTCACTCTAATATTAATCACTGAAGCTGGACAGCCATTTCTAAGCACCATTTTTCATCTTACTGCCTGAGCGTGTTTCAACTGAATGGATTCATTGAGTGGGAAAGAAGAGGGGAGCTCATGGGTGCTAGGGGGTTGTTTCATTAAGATTCTGAGTTAAAAATAGCGCGAACAGATCTTCACTTTGCCGGCGCAGTTCAACATGTCTCACCCTTGACTATTGCTTGCCTTCTTATTATTCCAAACGGCTCTTAGGGGCTATAGCAGAGTGCTTGTTGCTGGAAAGTGTGGCTCTGCAGAACCTTTTGAGGAGTTTTATTGCGCATTATTCAAAAATTACTTTCCCATCTAAGCTGCAGCTCTTCAAAGGAGTCTTGGAGCGGAATAACAACCACATTAACATGTTGCAAACCCTCATGTATCCATATGAGAGTTGTGATAAACCGCGTAAGTCCTGCCTGGCTTGATAACTATCCTGAGAGTTATCGGGCCCGATTGCAGTGGTTCTAACCACGAAGCACATATGATGCACTTCTGATTCTGAAGCTCTGTGAGTGTGTCACATGTTTCACAGTAATTGTGAGCAGCAAAGACGAGATGAGAACCAGGGTCATGCTGTTATCAATGTGGAAAACAGTGATCGATTAATTATGTATGCAGCAGATACTGTGTCCATTATAATAGTGGTAAAATAAGTGTTACCTTCCGTGCCCCTGAATGGAGAATATGACTGCACTGAAAGACTGCTACTGACCTCCTATTCACAAAAAAGGACATTCGTGCATTTGAAAATAAAGAAATATGCAGAGCATCATCAATTAGTTTTTAATTAAAGTGTCTTTGATCTCATACTGCTACCATAACCTAATGTGTATAGACATCATCAGCCTGAACTGTGTAGGTTTTCTTGTTTGTCCCAACGCCACTTTTTCCATGTTTACATGGAGAGGAGCAATGCTGCATTACCAGTTTCAGCTTGTGTTGTCTGAGCACTACATGGGTCATCTCTCTTGGATGCTGTGGCTTAGGTAATGGAGGCCAAGTTGACCTTAAGGCACTCGGAGATGGATGCTCTTACGGCACACAAGAACGGCCGCTCATGGGCGTCACTGAGTTCATGAGTGCTGAGTGTGCCCGCGCAGTAATAAAGGGTTCATGTGCTTCTGTCTTTGCAGCGTTTCTATAGCGTCTCTTGGAAGAGAAAATCCGGTGCCCTCTTGTCCGCCTCAGGGACAGATCAGCTTACGGAAGAGAAGAGGGCAGACATTAGTCACTGTTTTCCTGTAATACACTCGTGTGCGCGCGCACACACACACACACACACACACACACACACACACACACACACACACACACACACACACACACACACACACACACACACAGTTTGCACATTGAAGAATACGAGAGAAGAGGCATCTTGGGTATATCCAGACATATGCTTTCACATCATTATCACCCGCACACACACGTTTGCACAAAAAGATTGATGTAACTATTCACAAAGCTAAAATCCCTGCAGACACACAAAAGTGATCATGCCAGCAGCCTGTATGGAAACCTTAGAAGTGATTACTAAGTGCAATGGTAGGCGCAGTGTGTTGTTACATGGAGTGTCTTCCCCCTTGAGCCCCTTATGCTGTTCGTGTCTCTGCTGGTGGTCCCAGTGAGCCTCCACCAGCTGGCCGCCTGCCTGGGTCTGCGGTCCCGTGAGAGGTGGCACAGGCTCAGGGAGAGGATAAAAGACAGTGAGACATCATGGGCCGAGGACAGGAGAGATGCTCTAGCCCGGAGCAATCTTTCTCTGAGCATCTCCAGGCCTGTAAAATACCCCGCCAAATATACACTTCAGCAGCAATATGGCAACTTCATGTTGTATTCAACGTAGTATCGCAATGTAACATGATATCATGTCCAGAGCTGCAGATTGATCGCACGGCTCACACTGGAAATGGACTGAACCAGAGCGCAGGAAATTGACTTAGCAAACGCAATAGTGATACTTCCTTCCTGCCTTCTTGCATTAGTACTGTCAAAATCAGATAGGTGAGAAGGTGTGTTTCTTGTGTGTTTTTGTATCATTGCTAGGTCTGTAAATAAGGACTACTTTTAATATTGATCAGTGTGTCAGTGTATACTCAGTCAGGTGCAGTGATTTGTTTAAGAAATTCTTAAAGATGTTACAGTCAGTACTTGATATTTACAGTGGATCACATGACTACTTGCATGTGATCAACCCACAGAGAAATAGCACAAGACAAGAGCATTTTACAGTTGCTTCCTAACACAAAAGGAAGCAACCAAAACGGCAGATATGACCAGCCAGAGTTTACAGAGAGTTAAAGCCAGGCTTATATTCTGTGTGTGCACAGAGAGACAGCTATAATGGGGTGCTAGTGTTGAATAAGTGTGCCTTATCATTGTTTGAAAATAGCCTTATAGGTAAAGATAGTTCATGTTGTGTCTACAGCTTCTTTTCAGTGCAGAGATGAAAAAAACAGTTACTTGTTTAAGTAGTCCAATGACTTCTGACATCAACCTGTCAGTCAAATAATAGTGTAGTTAATCTTTTAAAGTACACTATGTTGCTAAAAGTATTCATTCACCCATCCAAATCATTGAATTCAGATGTTCCAATCACTTCTATAGCCACAGGTCTAAAAAATTAAACACCTTGGCATGCAGACTTTTTCCAGATACATTTGTGAAAGAGCGGTCACTCTCAGGAGCTCAGAGGATTCCAGCCTGTGATAGGATGCCACCTGTGCAACAAGTCCAGTCGTGAAATTTCCTCACTACTTAATATTTAATATTATTTAATACAGAGTTTGTACAATACTTACCAGCCTGGAAGTCAATATTTGGTAATGCCACCTTTATTGTTCAACACAGCTTGAACTATCTTAAATTTCTTTCTTTAAGTAGTCTTCAGGAATAGTTCTCCAGGCTTCTCGAAGGACATTCGAAGCTCTTCTTTAGATGTGGGCGGTTTCTTCATTTATTCTCAGTCAAGATGATCCCACACCACTTTAATAATGTCAAATCCATGACTGATGGTGCTCAATTGTGTGCTTTTCAATCCAGGTATGCTTTTTACTGCATTGGCAGTGTGTTTGGGATCATTGTCATCCTGGCAAATGAAGCTGTTGCCAATCAGAAGCTTTCCAGATGGTATTGCATTTTAGATCAAAATCTGACGCTACTTTTCTGTCTTCATAACTCAAGCAGTTTTGAGAAGACCGCCAACACCACTGGCTGCAATACAGGCCCAAACTATGACAGAGCTTCCAGCACGTTTTACAGATGGCTGTAGACGCTCACCGTTGTACCTCCCCTAACCTCCCTTTTACACTTTTACAACCAAAATGTTCAAATTTGGCTTCATCACTCCATCAGAACTGTTAACTTCAATTTTCAGTATAGTTCTTGTGTAATTTGGCATTTCCCTTCTTCCAGAATGGCTTTTGGATAGGCACCCTTCCACTGAGATGAGGTGTCAGTGCACAATAGATAGGGCCAGAGGGATCTCTCGGTTCCTATGTCAGGTCTTAGCCAGATATTTCTTAAGGACATGACTTTGGCATACATTTCACCTGCTGATAGTTTCTTTTAATTTGTTTATGCCAACACGTTTTTTGTTCTCCACTTTTCCTCAAATTAAGGACAGACTGTCACACCATGCTAAGATCCGCCAAGCTTTCTGTTAATAGCTCTTTGGAAATCACCTTGTTTGTGCAAAAATACAATTTTATGCCCATCAAAATGTGTTATATTTGACATTTTTCATATATCCAACTAAAGAAATGAGAACAAGTCATCTGTCTTTGCAACCAGCTTTTAGTAACAAAGTACAATTTAAAATGTAAATAATTCTTTAAGTTGTCTTCTCATTATGTGTAGACACAGCACCGGTTCATCCCTTGAGTTAGGTGTCTTTTTTATGCTTGAATGATTCATAGGTCAGTCTAAATGACTTAACAGAAGGAAAAAAAACATTCCCAGAAAATGGACGATCCAAGGACTAGCTCCTTGTAATTAACATAAATAAAGCAACGAGGGGTGGTTCAAAACATCCGCACATACTGTAGATTCTTACGCTTGTCAGTTTGTTTCTGATCTCTCTACCAATAAAGTTTGAAAACTGTTAAAAACAGGTAACTGTAGTGCTGACATGAAGACAGTCACAATGCGCTGGGTGTGAAAAGACAGAAAAAAATGTGTACGAGAGGTGAACAGCAGGTCAGGAGTTATTGGCTGGAATGCTGCATTCCCAAGATCTACCAGGTGTGCTGGGTGACTAACACTGTAAATACTGATGACCCCAGACACATTTATGATGACTCTAAGAGTTTAAAAGCACTGTCCAAACAGACAGATGAAGAAAACATAATTTCCAGTTTGATATTGCAGAGAAGAAGCTCAGGAGGGAAAAGAACAGCTGTAAGTAGTAAAACACAAGAGAGAAAAGCAATCACACGTGCTGCATAACACTGA